GTGCAGAACGTGAATCAGCTGGCTCGTACGCCGCTTGGTGTACATTCATAGGTTTGATTAGAGTACGCTGGACCAACCCTGTTACCAGCGAATATACCCTTGCAGCTACAACGTTAGAGCGAGCGGTTGGCTAGCGGTCATTTGGGTAGTTGAACTGACCATGAAAATTACTTGTCAAAGCATAAAATTTTAGGATGCTGCCAACACAGCTAATAAACGGCACGCTAGCTCTTACCTAGGAATTAGACCAAGGGGTTGGTGTGTGAAGCAAGATATCAGTCGGAGCCGTGGCAAACAATGGTGCACGGAGCGGGGTACACATACCACAGGTCACATACAAGCATGGACTGAGAAGGTTGTCGTACGTCCTAAGGTAAACTGTCGTAGTGCCGGTGTGTTCATAGGTGCTTCCGGTTTGCATCTAAATATAGCAACCAAGAAGTCGTCAGGTGTTTGCGTGAGCATACTGCTATGGTCTTCAGCTATTTGTACGGGAAACTGAATCAGAGGGTTGCTTTAAGAAATAGTCAACGTCTGACCTAAGAGACGCAGGCCATTGTAGTTGATAAGGCAGCCAGCCATGGCTGACTCAACCCCGCTTGACGTCAGGGAGGAGATTTCACACTCGGGTTCTCTCCAAAGATAGAGTAGGTACCCCTTGATTTTATTGGTATTTACGACGATGAAGTGCTGTTGGCCTCTTCCCCTTTTTCTTAGTGTGTACTGTTGTCATCCTACTGAAACAATATCTGCCGCATTTTTGTGACCTCTTCTTTACACTTGCTTTACCTGCTGTTTTGGTAATGGCAGGAAAAAGGTACCTCGCCAAAGAACAATAAGGGTGCGGAAGGGTATAGGATATCGCATCCAGAATTTATTGGGATCCCATATCAGGATTAAAGGACCAGGAATATCAACTCCGGATCTTTTTCCTTTTGATTTAGCAACCACTTCCGATTACCTAATTCTAGCGGCCACTGAAGACCAGGCTCGAAAACGAGACACCTGGGCCGATCCTCCGTCATTGTGGCGAGCTTCACACACTCGCGCTCTTTTGACCACGCCAGTATACGTGATATCACCTTTAGACTCCCCGGTGGTACCGTCGAGGCGATGATACCGAATAGTGAATGAGACACTTTTTTCCATGAATTTATGCCGGGATCTTTGTTTTCTGCAAACTAATGATGACTGCGGCGGTTGCGGACTGTCCATGTATGCCTGTCTACTTTTTCAGAAGCTACCATCAAGCTTTAACTGTGCGTTATAAGTCTGGATGGTAGAAAATTCCGGTCCATGAATAAGGCTCGAGGTTTCTGACTCAATAGCAGATCAGTAAAAATTGGTGACTGTATCATACTACAGCAGTAATTATCGCCTGATCAACTAAGTGTCCTTCGTTGGTGGTGACCACTTCTGGGAGGGGTGGTTGTAAATCCGCCTCGTAGCTGGTTTATGAGACCACACGTTGGGTAAAAACATTGTGTTGAACGAATTCGCCCAGTGCCACTGCAAATACTCCACTCGATCCGACGCGCCGGAGCTCACTCCAGGAATCCTTTGAAGCGTTAAAATCCCCTACCTGTAAGAGATGAGTGCAGTGATAGATGGAGGGGAGCTGATCAAGTGTTTGTATGAGGAACTGGTCATCCTCCATAGGATTCAGGGGACAACGGTAGACCACGTGAAGACGAACAGAAATGGACTCACGCGGTGGGATTTGAATTCACAGTGCATCGCAAAAAGGTGCAGAATTGACATCATAGAAAACAACGGAACTATACAGGGCATCATGTGAGACAGCCCAAAAAACAGGGTAGTTGCCTCCCAAGAGTTCCACGTCAGAGACAGCTTCGGTATGAGTCGGGCTTTTATGAGCGCGATTATGGACGACTGCCCAAGACAAACTGAGTGCTTAACACCGCAAAGTTTGTGAACATGCACTTCAACACCATCTCTGCTGCCTCCAATCCGAGCAGCAGAGGAGTAGCATATTTGTTAGCTGTACCCCGGGTTTGTTACCAAAGCTTTGAAGAGGCCTCTGGGGCATACTTGTCCGACTCCTGTTTTGGTGCGTGCAAGAGCCGCTTCTCACTTCCAGGGATTTTCGCTCCGTAAGACTTAGGTTTACATGGGACTACTTCGGGTAGTTTTCCTTCGTGGGCGAGAACATTGACCACCGCTACTTGTAGCTCGGTAACGACACATTTTAACGATTGGATTTGACGTTGTTTAAGGATATGTGGTTGCTTGGGCAGTTGGCGCAGTTTGATCGATAAGGTGTCCCCGTGAGGCTCTGAGCGTTAGGTGAGAGCACTGAAGCATCTCATTTGGTGACGATCCCATGAGGCTCATTTTCTCAGTGGACTACACCCTGAGACTTGCCAGCAGTTAAATGATTTGACGAATCCTGGCGAGTTTTTCAACTGCAGGCCCTTTCGTGTTTGGGTGGACTCTCGAATCGTCCAATCAGTTTGGTCAACTGGGTATACGAAGGATTATCCGGCTTGATGTTGTCAGCTTTGTAGATTTGGCCGTCGCGCTTCTGGGCGCCGACTGCGTTCACGCTCAAAGAGGCACCTTTAGACGGAGTTGAGCTGGAGTTTGCCAGTTTCATATTCTCAGTGGCTGTTGGGTTCTTGCAGCATTCCCCGATTTGGAGGTTAGCACTAATGATTTTTTGTCAGTAAGTTGCGCCGCTTGCCTCTGCACGTATGACCCACTCCGGCTCAGACTTCACGTCTTCGCCCTTGTCGGCTATTACGGAAACAAGTGCTGATAGCTCTGTGTTCTTTGAGCGCTGCGTCGACTGGAGTCTTGCCTGCCCCCGAAAATAGCTGTCTATGAAAGTCGAGGTGTCCCAGCGGTTGAAACTGCCATCTGGGTTTGCGGCTGGTTGAGTCGGCGTGCTTTCAGTAGAACAAGGTTTCATAAATACTGTCGGTTGAGCCGTAAGGTAGGGTCGACTGAACTGGCGCCAATTGGGGACGTTTTCCGCACCTCTTCCTTAAGACTAACGTAGCCCAGATTTCGTGCCTTTGGAGGGTGATGCTAATACACACGCTTGATCGTTGTTTAGGCCTTCTGAATGCTGACAGTCCGCTCCAAGATCTGTGCGACAGATGGGNAAGAGTGACAGAAGCTTGTTTCCTTCCCGGCGTAACCAATATGCATAGAGGAGCTACTCTGTCTGCTTCGCTGGCGTGCTTTTGCTAGAGAATGGCCACCTGCTAGGCCAGCCTGCTTTTCCAACTATAGATGCTGTGACGGGCTCTGTTGCCGCATCAGAGAGCTGGATGGTCTTCCTGGCCAGCGGACCCAGGATGCAGAGCACGAAGCACTCATTCATGGAGAGAAGTTAATTTTTAACTTTTCTCCGGGTCGTTGTGTTCGTTGTGTATTTGCCCCCCAGGTTTGGAAAGAAGCCCAGCTTTGCTTTGAATATCTCAATTAAAGCAAAACATTCTCACTGGTCTTTCGATTTGGCAGTTTGGGTTTGGTCTCGTTTTTTGAAGGCTTTGTTTTCAGTTGCTGATTGCACTGCACCCTTAAGGTGCAGACAACTGGCGCAGAAAAACGGATCAGGCTTACCTGATCGTCCTGTAGTTTCATGCATTTGAAGTGCCGCCAGCTTTCCCATGTGCAAGGATGCATCCGCGTCCTACACTCGAAGGACGCCCATTTCGTTCACATCGGTGCATCGATGGCTGTAGAGAGCACAGGTAGTGATTTGGATCATGGCCGAGACTGGGCGCACCGCAGGAAGTGAGCGCAAGCCGAGAGAGATTATCCCACAAATGTTGTGTTAGAATGAAGAAATTAATAAATGCCATTTGTGAACTCTAGATAGATAGACCAGCGGAAGAATGTTTTCACCGATCTGTACTAGGGAAAACGAAACCGATTTCGAACGTACCGCGCCGGGTCATTACGCATTAGATTTCCGGTATGCCTTGCTTACTCTTTTTTTCTGCCACTCCTTTTGCTGTTTTAAAATTTGATGCAGCTGTTTCTGGTCATTACGCATTAGATTTCCAGTATGCCTTGCTTACTATTTTTTTCTGCCACTCCTTTTGCTGTTTTAAAATTTGATGCAGCTGTTTCTCCTGGTCCTTTTTGTCACCAGTGCATTGACGACGTATTTTAGCTTTCCATACCTCCCACTATGGTCCACCCGATGGCACGGCAGCCTGAAATAACCTTCTGCAGCTAGAAGAATACTGGTTCGACCATCACTACAGGGAAAGTCGAAAAGAAGTCGGACGACGTCGCCCGGATTTGAACCGTGACCTATTGTCCATCGAGCCACGGGCGGCTGTTGGTGCAAACGTCTGCTAAGCAGCTAGGCCTCACATGGAATAGCCGTATGCTACGGTGCGGATCACGTGACTCAAACCAGCCAATCTTTTGCTTCAGTTTGGCTTGTGCATAAATCTTGGAGGTTGATGCCCGGAAGGGCATGAGACTCTTGCACAAGCCAGCGGGCCGCCACGAGAATGGTTGCCGCAGTGCTACACCCTTTTTCGCTTGTGCCTTTCAGGTGAACGACAGCCACTGACCGACAAGAACAAAACCGACCCGGGAAACTTGGGCAAAAGCCTCGATCCTGTGTATCAATCCGTGAATCCGTGAAAAGCATTCTGATTGGCTAGTTGTGGACAAGCCAGGAAGCGCGAGCATTCAAACTGCATTGTGCATAAGCCAACAAAAAACGAGTCAAATCGTTAAAGCTCATAAAATGAGAAAATATGGACTGTCACTGCAAGCGAGCAAATAGCATAAAACAACTCAACTGACTTATTTCGGGAGATACCTGTCCACCTCTGACGGGAAATGTGCCCGTAGCCAGAATATGTGATGACTACAGTGATGTTGATCATACAGCGGAAGCGATATCCTCTTCCTCAGAACAAAGTGCGGTGACTGTGCTCGATGAGAAAAATGAAAGCACAGTTTGGACACTCGTAAACGAGGCAACCGTATTTAACCATATGCACTAGACGGTCGCATACGCGCGGGCAACCTGGCCCTATCCCAGCCCCCGTGTTTCCTTCGGATGGCATGGCAGCTGGGTACCGAAAGGGTGTTAAAGCTATGGGTCTGATGAATTTGTCGTGTGAGGATCACTCTAGATGCTCTGCTGACTGCCTACTGCCAGTGTTTTTCCAGTCAAGTGGTGGATGCTTGCGCCATGAATCTGTTGAAAGCCAGTTCTCTGCCACCACAAAGATGCCCGTTGTTGCGCTTGAGATTCCCATATGAGCAGTCTAGGCTCCTCAGTTGACGCGCTTGTGGACGGAATAGCTGAGGATAAGTGAACAGCTCAAAAGAGAGGCACATCAGAGTTGGCCGTTCTACTGTTACCGAAACATGTAATCCCGTCTACTGCTGTCGTGCACGCATCCTCATTGAGACCCATGCTCTCCACACACTTATCCAATCCTTATCGTAAAAAATCGTACGGCTGTAGCAACCTTCCGGTGCCTAACTGCCATGCCATCAGAAGGAGGCACGAGGGCTTGAATACTGCCAGGTTAACCAAGGCTAGACTGGGGAAGTCGAGAGGTAGAGGTCAGGCTCGAATCACAGTGAATTCGTGCTTTAAGCACAGCCATCTCGTCACAGTTCTCGTACGCCAACCAAGTTGTCTACTCAGGACGTACGAAAGACGTTACCCTCATTGAGCGTGTCCAGCGGGCCGCCACGAGAATGGTTGCCGGCCTGAAGTCCGTGGACTACGAAACGCGTCTCGTGACGCTTGATCTCTTTCCCCTGGAGTGCCGTCGCCTCCGAGGGGACCTAATTCTTACCTACGCCCTGTTTGAACAAAGCTTGGCAAACAGGTTTTTTACCGTTTACCCAGCAAACACCCGGCGGGGACATAGTAAGAAAATCTTCAAGCTCAGGGCACACACATCCGTTAGACAAAACTTTTTTTCATTTCGGGTAGTAGCTGCGTGGAATGACCTTCCTCCGACGGTTGTGCACGCTCCTTCTCGAACCCAATTTAAAGCACTATTAGACATTTGTTTATGCGAATTTTCGCGCTGGCGAGGATACTGCCCCGCGCTGAGAACATAAAGAGCAGTGCTACACCCTTTTTTCACTTGTGCCTTTCAGGTGAACGACAGCCACTGACCGACAAGAACAAAACCGACCCGGGAAACTTGGGCAAAAGCCTCGATCCTGTGTATCAATCCGTGAATCCGTGAAAAGCATTCTGATTGGCTAGTTGTGGACAAGCCAGGAAGCGCGAGCATTCAAACTGCATTGTGCATAAGCCAACAAAAAACGAGTCAAATCGTTAAAGCTCATAAAATGAGAAAATATGGACTGTCACTGCAAGCGAGCAAATAGCATAAAACAACTCAACTGACTTATTTCGGGAGATACCTGTCCACCTCTGACGGGAAATGTGCCCGTAGCCAGAATATGTGATGACTACAGTGATGTTGATCATACAGCGGAAGCGATATCCTCTTCCTCAGAACAAAGTGCGGTGACTGTGCTCGATGAGAAAAATGAAAGCACAGTTTGGACACTCGTAAACGAGGCAACCGTATTTAACCATATGCACTAGACGGTCGCATACGCGCGGGCAACCTGGCCCTATCCCAGCCCCCGTGTTTCCTTCGGATGGCATGGCAGCTGGGTACCGAAAGGGTGTTAAAGCTATGGGTCTGATGAATTTGTCGTGTGAGGATCACTCTAGATGCTCTGCTGACTGCCTACTGCCAGTGTTTTTCCAGTCAAGTGGTGGATGCTTGCGCCATGAATCTGTTGAAAGCCAGTTCTCTGCCACCACAAAGATGCCCGTTGTTGCGCTTGAGATTCCCATATGAGCAGTCTAGGCTCCTCAGTTGACGCGCTTGTGGACGGAATAGCTGAGGATAAGTGAACAGCTCAAAAGAGAGGCACATCAGAGTTGGCCGTTCTACTGTTACCGAAACATGTAATCCCGTCTACTGCTGTCGTGCACGCATCCTCATTGAGACCCATGCTCTCCACACACTTATCCAATCCTTATCGTAAAAAATCGTACGGCTGTAGCAACCTTCCGGTGCCTAACTGCCATGCCATCAGAAGGAGGCACGAGGGCTTGAATACTGCCAGGTTAACCAAGGCTAGACTGGGGAAGTCGAGAGGTAGAGGTCAGGCTCGAATCACAGTGAATTCGTGCTTTAAGCACAGCCATCTCGTCACAGTTCTCTAAGATCTGCTGAAGTTCTATGGGGACCGTTCCCAGACGTTCACCAAAAGAGGTGTTGTTGTGGTCCTCCCCTTTTCAACTTCGTGCTAGACTGGATTAATTGTCGATCGCTACTTCTTGTATCATCTGAGTGTAGCTATTTCTGGGGAGAACCTTATAGACATGTGGAACGAGCGTGTTACTTTGCTAATTTGACCGTACTCAATACATATATAGATATTAAATAATTTAAATGTTGTCATGCGTTTGTACAATTTGCATCTTCAACATGCTGTAACAAGTTTGGGCGCCAAAGCTGGCCGTCGCATCAGGACTGTTAAAAGTGGTGGAAAGATTCACCTGTGTGGTTGATTACACCACGTCGGATGGCGGCACTACTGGTTAGATGAGTGCCAGAACTGCTGAATCCCGTTCTGCTTTCCTCCGAATTAAACACATCTGGGATAGATGTGTGTTTAAACTGTCAATAAAAGTCAGGATGAACAATTCATATGTGTTCCCCTGTGGTTACGTGACCTGGTCGTAGCGAATCAAAGGCAGAAGAAAACTGTCCCTTGACCATGAGTGCCTTAGGAGCCTTAAACATGTATCACGGGGATATAGAATTAGCAAAGCCGAAGTGCTGACTGGTTTGGAGCTTGCTCAGTTGATCGATCGGTCCGGTTGCACCAACTACTCTTGATAGGCCAAGTGCTCCTTTCCCGGATGATCGATGTTTACTGTGGCAGGTTCCAACCGGAAGATGCCACAAGGCAGACTGGATGACCTGAAGAAGGAGCATGAGAAATATGAAAGGACTTGCGTGCAGTGGTACATATCTTTCCCAATTTTTAAGTATCAAACAACCATATGCTTACTAGAGTTTCACTGATACAGTGACGTTATTCACTATCTTGTTCTTAAACAAGGATCCGCCACTCTCTTTGTTTTGCTTCCGTTTTCTGTACGCAGTCTATCCTACGCTACTCACTGCCATAAGCTGCAGCGATCCGAAGCAATATCTAAATACATGGCTTACAGTTTTCAAGTTGGCTACTGAACTAGAATTTTGTTTGCCGCCGTAAGGCTATGGAGATTGACGCTGTTATATATTACAACTGGCGAGCGTCCGATTATCAAAAAGGGCTCGATACCGCCACGCGAAAACCGTCATGACAGCCTGTCACCCGCGGCATCCTGGAATTATTTTGCGCATGATGTTCGGTTATCGGTTGAGACAGACTTGAGAATCATGCTGGTTTTTGCCTTGACCGAAGATACATATTCACTCTGATACAAGTTTTAGAACAGCACCACTCTTTCAAGCATCTTATCTTGGTCGTTTTTTCTATATGAAAGTCAGTTCTGACTCTGTAGATCGTCAAAAACTTTGACACTGTTTGGTGTTGAAAGGCCTACCTTCAAATTTCTTTTTACTTTATCGCTTAGTGGGCACTGAATGAATTCATATGAGCACGTACGAGTGTACCGTAAGCGTTCGCCTGAGTTCACCACGCCTAGTAGTGTAAGAAAAAACTACTCTCTCCCATTGTCCTTCAACTCTGTCATTGACATGGTGCTAACATTCTTCTGCCTGCTGGTGAAACCTCGTGGACCGAAGCACTCCAGGGATGTTTGCTCATGGAATATGCTGTCTTTGGTTTGGACGATTCAGGGGTGTAGGTCATTTTAAGTAACCCAGATAATTCTGCTGCGTGGCCTACTACACGCTTCGCACCAGCAAACTGTTAAGTGCTGTTACAGAACTGGGTGGAACCAAACCGAAAACCTCATGCTTGTAGACTTGTTAGTCGGTTAATCGGTGTTAAGCGGCTGCATGGGTTCCGATCGTTTGACCAAAAAGGTCACTTCTTTCACTTGGAACGCCAAGCTTTGACACCAATGGTACCGCCCTGACGTCAGTTTGTCTGTCAGGGGCATCGATGCGATCCATTCTGCTTTTTTGAACCAGAAACGTGACCTCTACATGCAGTGAATGTGTGAAAACTGCCGCTGTTTGACCGTTGGTGCTTCCGAATAAATATAAATATAGTTCAACTTCAATCTTTTCGGTCTACAGCTGTCGTGCCACCCGAAGGAAACACCAGGGCTGGGATACTTTCAGGTCGTCTGAGCCTAGACAGGGGCAGTCAAGATGTTGGGGTCTGGTTCAAACGACGGACCTTCCGGTCAGTAAGTTCGCGCCTTGACCACTGAACTCTCTTGTGCTCGTGTGTCTGAAATTTTGGTCGTCACTGGTAGGGACACCGGGTTAGCGATTTCGCCGTATGCCAAACAGATTTAGGAAAGAGGAACTCCCTCAAAACGAATGAGATGCTCATGCTTTATCGGTTACGCCTACTTCACAGAACCCTTTTTGCTAGGTCTTGCGCTGAGTGGAAGCGGCCAGGAGGTCTGTGACCTGGCAGTCAAGTATGAAGCACTACTAAGTAAACCCAGTTGGGTTGAAAGTTGCCACTTCCCTGGACGGTGACTCTTAAACTCAGTTCATCAGCTGGCAATGCCACGCGTGTATATTGCTCATTCACGCGGTCATTGGCTCCCCTGCACAAAATCTGCCGCTTCCGATACGTAGCTGTCCATTTTTTTGTTTTTTAGGTGACTAGGTTGATACAACACCAAATAACTGAATATGCCATCCAGTGGCTAGGTATATCTCCCCTGTTCTCTTATTTCCCGGTGACCGATAACGTACCGAGCTGATAAACTGAACTAGAGTGTGGTGACAATCTTGGAATAAAGTAGACGAGATTAGAATTTTCGGACAAAATTCTACCGGGTTTTTGATAGAGTCTCACCTAGTTCTGGGAGGTTCCTTGTAGTAACAAATCCTCAACAGAGAGACTGGATAAGAATCCGAAAATCCCAATATTTCGCCGTGTATTTCAGCAATATGCTGGTACCTAGGTTTTGCTACTTCCGCCACCATGTTGCTAAAAGGACTAAAATTTGATAAGTGTAACTGCAAAGTGGTAGCTCCAGTCATTCTTTTTTATCATGCTGCGAGGTTTGCGATTTCACAAGATCTGTGCCTTTGTTCGTAATTATATGTTATTCTGATGCCACAAGTCTCACAATTACTATACTGATAGTAACTGTTACCCTGTTCGACCTAGGTGTTGTTGTATGATTTGATCACCCTGACTCGTCAGTTCACCGGAATGGAAAAGACACACAACTTCGAGAAAGTCTTACTGCAAACAAGTGGATCGCTCCGTAATATGGAATTCAGCCGAACCAGAATATAAAAAGTGCTAGCAGTCCAATAGGATGTCAGTCAGAGGCTGAAATGTTTTCAGTATACAAGACAATCGTTAGAAAAATAGGTTTGTTGGTTTGGAGGCAGTCCTGATAGACATGCTTTGTTTGAACTGAAAATGTATGCTGCATGCGGTCTGTGGTGTAAGATCTTGTCAACGCCATCTGGTTCTAAGTTATGGGGGTAGTCGACCTCAACAGTGCAAACAAAGGAATGATAGCGTCATTAATGTTACTTTACTGTGGCCACTGAAGATCCGTCCACAGAATCGACCGCCAAAGTATTTCATAATCTTCGACATTGGTAGAACAACTCAATATCTCTCATCTCAGTATCTCGTTTTTGGTTGTCTTGGAAATCACGGGAAACAGATGGTGGTTTTAAGCATACGTGTTGACGATTGAGTTGTTCTGAGTTTGGCAGTTTCGTGGTCAACGTGTCATCAGTTGAGGTAATATCCTCAGTATGTGGTGTGTAGATTTGCATGACACTACACTCTGTGCTTCTGTTGTAGTTCAATTTCCAGTGCTGAAATTTTAGAAGAGCTTAACAGTTGTGGTTGACTAATCATTTGCGTAATTACATGGGGGTTCACTGCACATGGATTGTGCGTGGATTACTTTGAGTGTCGATCGGCTCTACCCAACATCATCGCCGAAAACACCGTAACTGTGTTTGTCACACTTGTGTTCGTAGACCAAATTTAAGGAAAGAACGCATGGATTCAACATGAACGCCTTCCAGTTGGCCTCTATGGGTTGCCCGAAGAAATGAAGTAATCTATAGAGGAAAATGTTGGTAGCTCAGGTGGTTGTGTCACAACCACCACCTGGCGCTAACGTGACGTCAGCCACAGAGTTTAAACCGCGGTGGTACGATCCATACTGCTTTATGGATCAGAAACGTGGCCCCTACGCGCAGAGGACATACGGAAAATGTCAGTGTTTGACCATCGGTGTCTCCGGAGCATTGGTCAGGTCTGGTGGGAATATCGCATTAGTAATGTTAATGTGCGCCAAATCGTCTTAGGAAGAATTAACTCTCCCGCGATAGATGAATTACTGACGCTTCATACACTGCGCTGGTTGGATCATGTACTCTGCATGCCAGATGACCGTCTGCCTCGCAGAGCTTTTTTCGCCGAGCCCTGGGCTGAGTGAAAGTTACTGAGAGTTGGACGATGTATGACCTGGCAACAAAGTACGAAAACGCTAATCAGCGAACTGAATTGAGTCAGTAACTGCCGCCTCCATGGATAGGGACTTCGGGTTCAACTCACC